CACTCAGCCACTGAACCACATCCCCAGCCCTATTTTATATTTGACTTAGAGACAGGATGTCACTGAATTGCTTAGCACCTCACTTTTGTTGAGGTTGGCTTCGAACTCTTGATCCTCCTGCTTCAGCCTCCTGAGATGCTGGAATTATAGGCATGTGCCACCGCGCCCCGCTAGGATTCTGATTTTAAAGTAATAAAATTTTTAGCTAAAAGAAAGAAATTCTCAGATTCCCGAATGAAGATGATATCAGCTGCCACTTTGTTCAGTCTGTAATGGACTCAAAACCAGATTCTTCACTCTGAGGGCTGGTAATGCAACTTTAGATTAAGAGTCAGTGATGCAGGGCTGGGATCTTAATGTCCTCTCACAGAGACTAATAATATTAAAAAGCTGAGACTTGGGAGGACCTTCTGGCTGAGATAGGAGAACTGGAAACAGAGTTCACTGATCCAGAGAAGTCTAATGAATCTGAGAGAAATATGATTTCTCTCAAGTTGCTGGAAGAAGAAAATAATCTATATCAATACTAAAAATTATAGCTAACATGGTTTGGGAATCCAATTTTAGACTTGTCTATGTATGAAAATATCAACTTAAGATATCCATTTGTTTCAGGTTAGAGACATCTCTGGAGCTTCTTGCAATAGCCAATTTGAAACCATTGTGAGGGAGAGCTGGTAGTAATCCATTTGCTCACACGGTGTGTCATTATTTATCATGAGTTAATATTCTACAGGAATTTCTTTTTATTATGGGTTTTGAATGTTCCTTGTGTGTGGGAGTGTCCCTATAACATTTACCAATAAATCACTAAAAATTAATTATTGGCCTCAGTTATGTGTGAATAGTATGGCTTCCACTCTGGTTAGTTTGGTGTTACAGTGACAGACATGATTTTCCTCTATATTTTCATCCATATAATTGTCTACCACTAGAAACTACATGGTTTGTCTGAATGATAGTGAAAATGATGAGGCTGAAAGCCTCTGCCTGGATATTCCTTAGTGAAATCGCGTTTTTGAAAGGGAGRGGGACATTGGATGTACTTATTCCATTAGCCCATAGGAAAAGATGAAAAGTTTCATTCTATTTCATGTGCTTTCCCTGATTGCTGTTATTGCATTGTATGAATCAGTGTGTCATACTTTAAATATCCACTCTCAACATTTTTGAAAATCTAAAAGTGGACATTTGATTGAACATGACTTTGAATATGTTGCCCTCCCTAATGTGGATGGGCCTTAGACAATCCATAGAAGACCTGAATAGAATAAGTAGCTGCCTAACAAGGAATTCCTTCTTCCCACTGCCTTGATATCAGTCTTTTCTGCCTTTTTTAGATGAACTCTGAAACCTTGGCTCTTYGTGGGCCTGGAGACTTACCCACATGTGGACTGGAACTACATTGATTCCCCTGGGTTTCCAGTTTGCTAACTGCAGATCTTGGGACTTTTCATACTCCACAATCATGTGAGCCATCTGGTGAGATCATCCTGTACTTTTCTGTTAATGTACTAACATAAAGTTCAATTAAATATTTTCTTTTTGCAGGGAGTGGGTACTGGAGATTGAGACTAGAGGCCCTCACCACTAAACCACATCCCCAAGCCCTTTCTTATTTCTTATTTTGAAACAATGTCTCCCTAAATTGCTGAATCTGTCCTTGAACCTTCAATCCTCCTACCTCAGCCTCCTGAACCACTGGGATTACAGACATGCTCCACTTTACCCAGCTAAATATTTTCTAATTTTGAAGCATTTCTAAATTTCTAGAACCAACTCTAGTTGGCTATGATGTATTACTCTTTTTGCATATTGATATTTCATTTATTAGTATTTATTTGGTTTCTGCATCTGTGATCTTCAATAATACAAGCCTATGATTTTTCTTTATCACACTATGCTTGTCTGGTTTTGAAATTATGTTTGTACTTACCTTATAAAAGTGAGTTGAGAAGATTTTTCTTTTTTTTTTTCTATTTTTTTTTTCCAGTTTGAATGGAATTGAACTTCCTTTAAGATTTAGTAAACTTGGGGCTGGGGTTGTGGCTCAAGCAGTAGCGCGCTCGCCTGGCATGCGTGTGGCCCGGGTTCGATCCTCAGCACCACATACAAACAAAGATGTTGTGTCTGCTGAAAACTAAAACATAAATATTAAAATTCTCTCTCTCTCTCTCTCTCTCTCTCTTTCTCTCTCTCTCTCTCTCTCAAAAAAAAAAAAAAGATTTAGTAAACTTACTTCTAAATCAATACGAGACTGGTGCCTACCCCCCCCACACACATATCAACATATGTAGAGGGTAAGTTTTGAATCATATATATAGTTTATTTAATGATTATTGTTTTTATGTTTTCTATAAAATTAATTAATTTTGTTAATCTATACTTTTATAGAAATAGTCAATCTAATCATAAAATTTGAACATATTAAAGTAAATTTATGTATAAATTTTTAGTTTGTTTTTAAAAACGCTCTCCTGGTGGCTGATTATACCTCCTATCAAACGTATTATTTACCCATTAGCCCTTTAGTTACTATTTACTTTCTCTCTGATCAGTTTTGCCAGACTTTTCTTATTTTACGGATTGTTTAGTTGTTTATGAAATTGATTTTATTGAACTTTCCATTTAAACATTTCATTATTGCTTTTTACATGTTTTGTGATAACCTTCCTTTTTCATGGGGTTTACTGATGGACAAGAGTGTGGTGGAAATGCAAAGAGGAGGGAATTTCAAAGCATCATTTCAGGGTTAACTCCTAATGCCAGCCTGCTCCAATGTCACAGATAAAATAAAATAATTCAAGTTTTTTATTTTTACCTTTGATGTACTGAAAAGTTTTGGATATGTAAAACCCCAATATTATATTTTATAATTTCATCTGTGATTTCAGAACTTAGGGTTTCATAACAACACTCCTAACTCTTCTGTGTAAAATTTAAAATATATTTCATCCTATTTATTTCTTCTTTTTTGATTGGCTCTTTTTTTAGTTATACCTGACAATAGAATGTACTATGACATAATTATAAAAGCATGGGATATAATTTGTTTTAATTCAACCCCTGGTATTTGCCCTTCCTCTCCCTCCCACCTCCTGTTTCCTCCCCTCTACATTCCTTCTTTATTCCAAACAGCTAAGGCAGATTCCAAATGAGTTGTGAAATGGGGAAATTTTCTTCTTTCATGAGGGTGTCTTAATTCTATGATTAAAATCTTGGAAGCCTTTTTCTAATGGCATCTGAAGAGACACGAAGCTTACCAGTGATGTCTACACAAATCATCTTCAACCCTGTTGTTTCAATAGTCTAAATCCATTTCAGTGCATGGTCATGGGCTCATTTTGATATCAGTAGCAATCACTGAAGCAGTCCTCCTGGAGAGTCATGTCAAAACACTGTTGTCTTTCAAATTCAGGTGCAGCCACCATTCCTGGACATTTTATCTCCAATGTGCATCCCAGCTGAGAACTACTAGGAACTACTTATAATTTTTAAAATCCTTAGATAGAGAAGATGAGTTTTGAAATTCTAGACTTCTAGGGCCATGTATGGTAGAATGTGAAGTGTAGAGATGTTTGAATCGTAAGGAAAACCCTGAAATACCACAATCAGAAACATACCTCGTCATCCAGGTGAAATGTTGTTTCTTAAAAATGTAGAGAAATCTGCATTTCTTCTCATCAGAACTCAATGGGAAATACAACCCTCTTTGTGAACACACTTTGAAATGTTGTTTATTGAATGAATGAATAGGGTACATTATCTTCTTTGTAGGAGATTTTCCTGCTTTCATTGGCATGAACTGTTTTTCCCCAGAAATTTGGTTGTACATTTTTTCCAAAACAAAACCAATGGTATTAAGAGGTATAATGTACTAACAATGTAATGATTTTTAAGTCCTAATTCAGGATATGGAGACACACAGGCCACATGTATGTGCATGCATGGGCACACACCACACACCACTTTTTACACTTACAAATGCACCACTTTTGTGTTAATATCCTAAGTTGTCTATATTTGACTTAGCACTTATTTTCAAAATTATTTCAACATGAACTTTTCTGTGTCTTTGTATAAAATATAATTGCCTGGTTACTGAGTAAATGACTCTGAAAATAATAGAGAACAACATCAAAGAATTCTTTTGGGCAGAAAAATTTTATTTCAAAGCAGAAGAGCAACAAAACATAAGAAAATTACTCTAGGAGAGAATCTATGATATAACTAGACCCCCCCCCCCAGGACTGAGGGAATAAAATTCGTGCCTACATTGGGGCTAAAGTTAATGTTTAACTTTTTGAGAAAAATAATGTAGCCCCTTCAAGTAGTAAGGAAAATGAGTAATCTGGAGGATCAAGGTAATTTTTTGCTAGTAGATTACAAATTAATTTTTATTTGATGACAGCATTGGAAAGAAGAGAGTTTTAAATGAACTATAAGGTGCTTCTGTGGGACAGTGTTGGGCTCATTGGAATCATGAAACCCATTCTGTTGAATGACATTAACCAGATTCCATGTGTCCTAATGGTGGGCCCAAAAGAAGTTCTGCATCTGTGGGGAGAGAGGAGATAAGGATGTGGTGTTCAAAGACAAGATTCAGCAGTCAGGGATGGCACAGCACATGGGGCGGGGGCAGGTGGAGATGACACAGGTGGGGCGATAGCAGGTGGTGTGGCAGGAGACATTGCCACAGACTGGACGCAGGCGGCAGCAGGTCTGGCAGCAGCAGGAGTCACAGGAGGGGCGGCAGCAGCTGGAGATGCAGCAGCAGGGCCTGCAGCAGCTGGAGCCACAGCAGCTGGACCCACCAGAGCAAGAGGGGCGGCAGCAGCTGGACACACAGCAGGGCCTGCAGCAGCTGGAGCCACAGCAGCTGGACCCACCAGAGCAAGAGGGGCGGCAGCAGCTGGACACACAACAGGGCCTGCAGCAGCTGGAGCCACAGCAGCTGGGGCGGCAGCAGGTGGTCCTGCAGCAGGTGGTCTGGCAGCACCTGGGCTGGCAGCAGCCATAGCCCTGGCCAGAGCAGCAGGAGCCACAAGAGGAGTTGCACATGGTGTCAGAGACTGGAGGTTCTGGGTGGGTTTCCAGGAGAGTGAATTCTTGGGTTTGAAAGTCTTCTTGGACCACACCCGCTTTTATATCCCACSGAACTTCTCTTTCACCATGTCATTATTTCCTTGTTGTTATTTACCTTCCTGGAAAACTTAATTATTTAATTACATAATAGAATGTTTCTAATTAAGTACTCCAAAGAAAGAAAATAGCATATCTCCTTTTCCTGTTGTGCTCCTGTGTTTCCCACTGAAACATTTTTGACATTTTTTCCTTAGTGGGTGTCACATTTGACCTTGACCTATGCAGTGGTCTTTTATGAAGTACTCAAGAATGGACATTCTGACATTTTTTTTTCAGATGTAATATTTCCTCCTATCTGTATGCAAATCATAGAGGATGTTTTTCATAATTCAAATGTATCTTTTGTTGTTGAAGAATTTTCCGGTCAGGTGAAATGTTGGAAAGGAACTAGAAGAAAAGGCCCATTTGGGAGGAGGATGTCCCATCTGTCATGAGGATGATGGTGATTTTTTGTGTGGCCACCTTAGAAGGTCAGGGTCAGACCCGAGGAAGTTCCAAGCTCTGTGTCAGGTCTCATTCCAGGGTCTTCGCTGAAGCATTTGGCAATGACTCATGGTTTTGACATAATCAAAACACATTTTTGCTGTATGTCTTCCAGAATAGCGGTCGGAGCAGGGAGTTGTTTTTTTTTTTTATTGCTAAAATTGCACAATGGATTTTTCTTTCACAGGAGCGTTTGTTGATTTCTAGAATCAGTAAGTTTTCAATAAATATGTATTCAAGATATCCTATTGGCTCCTCTGAAAACAGAACAGATAACCCCTCATGTCTTTCCTGGGGGTACTTGTATAAGATCCACACCAGAAAACAGTGTGGCAAAAATTAAAGAATTACAATTACTTTAATTTCACAGCTAAAATAAAAATATACAGTTTGTGGATGCGTTCCATGCATCCTGGGTGTGTGTGCATCATAGTGACATGTTCACTGTGTCAGACTTTGTGCTGAACATTTTTTAATCCATATTGTTTTTAATCTTTATTGCAGCCCTATGAAATAGTGTCCTTACTCTTTTAGTGGAAGAGTCAAAAGACACACAGAAAGGTTAAAACAAACTTAAAAGTTGTTCAAGATTAAACAAAAACTTGTATGTCTCCAAGTGGTCAGTGAAGGGGTGAAGAATAAAACTTGCAAGCCTTTGCTGAAGCTGTTGAATTTCCGGGAATTTTTTTTTGTTCCTTGTCAGCTCTGCAAACCTACTCATCTGTCATGACCCAGCTGAAGTGCTTCCTTCTCAATATCTTTCCTGATAAGCTACTCTCCTAATAAGACCTCTATCATTATTCTTTGTCTTGTGTTTCCAATTCATTACTGACTTCTGCCATTCTCCCAGGTGCAATCCTAATAGCCTGAAGTCCTGGGCTATGGCATTTATTTCTGATACCATAAGGTGGAGAGAGAACACTGGCCATAAGTGTTTTGGAGCGAATGAAGTATCTTTTGACTGCTGGAGCAAAGAAAAGGAATATTCCAGACAAACAGATTGCAGTTCCATCTAAGGAAAACTGCATTTTTGTGGTAACATGTCACCTGATAAATGACATGTGAAAAGTTGTGGAAGTTAAGACTCTGTTTGCATTGAGACTTGTTTATAGACATCCATGAATACTGTGCTTCACTGAAATGCCCATATCCACACAGAAGAAGCCAAGAAGGCGGGAAACACCAAATGATAGCACCAGTCCTTCACCTCCTGACTTCCCTGTTTTACTCTTATTGCTAGGAAAAAAAAAAGTCATCATTACCAGTTTGATATCAGTCAACCAAATTTATTTGTGGAACATCTATTGTCTTCATTTTTATTTTATACAAAAGTGCAGAACTTGGGACAGAGACTTGAGTGCAAATAGAATACTTGAGGGGTGATTTTAGGAGACGCAAGTGAGGAATTATGGAAAGTTAGAGGAGGAATAAAAATCCCCCAAATGTTTGTGTTAATGATGGGGTCACCACCTGGGCAACTTGGGTACAAGCCGAGGGTACATGCCTGAGGCTGGAAGCATTTCGCTGCCATGATTTTATGCTCAGAATGTTCTAGAAAATCAACTAAGAAGTGGCATTAATCATGAGTTCATTAAAATATGAACTTTTAAAAATCAACAGATTTCTTATGCACTAGCAATAATCCTCCACAAAAAAATGTAATGGGCCAAAAACTCACCATTCTTATGATAAATAAAAATATTAAAATCTGCTGAGCAATCCAATTGGCCTCGATGGGGGAAAGTAGTCATATTTCCTGAAGGACATCAAATGGTATTTTAATAAACACTAGAACAAGAAAATGTATAACTAAAGCCAGATTTGTGACTAAGTGCATACATGTCGTACACATACATTTAATAAGGATTTATCTCATACCAATGGCTCTTGAATGATATTGGCAAAGACTAATGAAAGAAAACTTACTTTGGGTCAAATTCTTCTGTGTCATTTAGATTTTTAAAGACTATATACTTATTATAGGATCTTCTTCAGCCTCATATATACGAAACATTTGACCTGGTGTCTAGAATGTCTCAATTTTATCATGGCAAAGATTATAGGTGTAGGGGGATTATATAATTTCATTTTGGATACTTGATTTAATGTACAGGTTTGCTCATTTCCTCTATTTAACTCAATGTATAAGATGTCCACAGTATAGATGTAAATCAAACCTTGACATCATAGACATCTGGTGTGGGATCAATCACTCTTTGATATTGGGGCTGTCCTGTGCCTTATACGATGGTTGGCATCATCCTTTGGGTCTTCCCGCTGGACAACAGCAACAGGACCTTCCTTCCACCCCTTGTGCCAACCATATCTCTAGACACTGCTGAGATCTTCTGAGGGCAAATTTGTCCCTTGTTGAGAAACACTGATGTATGGATACCTCATTTTCCCCAGTGGTTATAGTGTCTTCCTAGGAAGCTACCAAGGTGTATTTAACTACTCACTGATCAATAGATATATGGAAATTTTCTTATAAAAAAGATGGATTAAGATCTCATTTCAAAACTTGTAGTGAAGCTGGGCATGGTGGTTCACACCTGTAATCCCACTAGCTTCAGAGGCTGAGGCAGAGGGATCACAAGTTCCATGCTGCTCTCCATAACTTAGCAATGACATCTCAAAAAAAAAAAATGAAATGGATGGGGGATGTAGCTCAGTGGTGGAGTGCCCCTGGATTCCATCCCCGCTGCTGCAAAAATAGATAAATAAAATAAAAATTTATAGGAAAAAAAAAGAGTAACAACCACATTCAATTTTCAATGACAATAGAATGGAAGTTTATTTTTTTCATATAGGAATAACAAGGTACAAGAAAATCCTTGCAAAGGAACATAAAGTGATACTTGATTGGATTTCAATGTCAGAGGTGTTAAACATCTACGGCCCTACAGGTGACAGAAGCAATCTCAAATTATTAAGCATGATGAATGGATGTCCTGAAGATAAAGGGAAAAATGTTGGAGGTAATGTGTTAAATTATTAGGATATCCTCAGGGAATTCATTTGCAAGGCGAGGAGTTTGGAAAAAACTCAGGATGTGGAATATTGAGAATAACTTAAGAATCAGATTGGCTTATGGGACTCAGGAAATCAACTCTCTTGGGCATGACATTTTTTTAGAAGGAAGGTCTTCATCTGTGGGGAGAGAGAAGGTAAGGAGGTGGGGTGTTCAGAAACAAGATTCAGCAGTCAGGGATGGCACAGCACATGGGGCGGGGGCAGGTGGAGATGACACAGGTGGGGCGATAGCAGGTGGTGTGGCAGGAGACA